AAGAAGAATATCGGCAGAAGAGCTCATTTCTTTCTAATATCAACAACGAAGTGTTTATCAACCAATCCTATATTACCAACCTTAATAAACTAGAAAAGTAAGCGTGCAAACGATTATAAAAAATAAAATATTTCCAACTAACAAAACATCCTTTCAGATTTGTAATGGTCAAGTTCTTGAATGACTCAATAGTTCAGCCTAAAGAGTCACAGTGGTTTGGCTTTTACGCACCTGGTCAAGATAAAAGCATCCGCCCACTAATACAAAGCGGAGTTTACGAAGATGTAATTCAGTAGATATAACTAAATACATATACATCAACTAAAGTAGTAGCTTAAGTGGCTTTAGAAGGTTTGACTGAATTGAAAAATAATCACTTTCCCTTCATGCACATATCTGTGCCGTTCAATTAAAACAGCCGAAGTCGGGATAGACCCTTTTCCTTTTATAGCAACATTTCATTGGGTTCCCAAACAATATTTTAAGGTTTAACTAGCCGTAGATGTTGTTCAAGATGCCCTTTTGGTAGAAGCTTAATTAGAATATAGAAAACATTCAAGGGAAACTGATTATTTTTTAATTCAAAGTTAAAACTATGGCGACTGATCTCTGTAGTTGCTGCTGTAGTAGAGATAGCTACCAGTATCGTACTTTGAATTATGTATAGCGATTAAGCTCAGTATACAGAAAAACGCAGACAATGTCCGAATTTACTTTTTCGACATGTACATTTCGAAGTAATTGGCTACTTTGTTCCAATGTGTTTAACAATTTATGTAAACAAATAGCAAAACCGTCATAAACGGGAAACTTAAAATTGCGTTACTAGACTCAGTAGCCGACAGTCACGAGTAGATAATTTCAGGAGTTAAAAGCCCTCCCGAAAGGCCTTGCTGAGAGTCCAGACGTCTTCCACTCTACATTCCTTTCTCCTTTCTATTTTGTATTGAATGGCACAAATTGAAGGGCTTCTTCTTTCGTTACCCATGGAAGGGCTTCCTGAAAGGCTTTTATAGGACCTACATCAGAATGCCTTTTGAAGGAGTTCTTTTAAAGTTGCTCCTTTAAATTATAAAAAACATACATCTTTGAAGTATTTGCTTAAGGCTTATATCAAATATATATTTTTTAAATTCATTTTTAATGCAAAATAATATAACTTTATGCATTCGCGTAAATTTTAAATGGATAAGCCCTTCTTAGAATGGATTCTTAGGCCTCTTAGAATGGATTTACTGAAGAAGACCTACCTAAATTATTTTCTGGATCAGTAGCCAGTTTAGTCGCCATATATAATAGGGCCGGACCATCAATTGAACGCCATAGATATGTAATATTAAACTCTTCACTTAATTTTTTTGTTTTTTCCGCAGCTCGGGCTTAAACAAATGGATGAAAACGGCAAGTTGTTGTACCTATCTGTAGAGGGTGATCATTTGCAAATGACTAGCAAATGGTTTATCGAAAATATTATACCACTTCTTACAAAAAACTAAATAAAAGATGTCTACATCTCAACATACTCAGCGGATTCGAATTTTCTCAAAAAGGTGTGTGATAAATAAGAACAAAGAACTATGATTATTTTTAATTGCCTAACATGTAACTAATAATATACTAATAAATCATTTTGACGAGCAAAATATGTTTCTTTACTATTTGGATGTCCATCATCGTCAATGCATCTGCGACAGTGAGGAGCCACTGTGACAGGGACCTGTCAATAATAAATCCACCAGAAATGAGAGTCGCGCCTTGCAGTAGTACAGCCTGGTTTTCGGCTAGCGTTCGCTGAGCCAATCTGTCCAAGAGCTGTTGTTGTTGTTGTAGCGGCTACAACAACCCCGCCCAGATCGGTTGGTATCTCAGTCGTTGTCGTCGAGTTCCACTAACGGCAGCCCCTAACGGTTAAACAGTAATGTCTTTTCTGAACCAAATGCATTGTTTCAAGCAAGTTATCCCATTTCATTTATTAAATATATAAAAGTAAGACATTCTTTATCAGTACACCACCTCTCAAGCGATACATAAATTTTCTACTTCATTATTACGGATTTATTTTCCTAGCGAGTTAAGTAACCTATCCACCGGAGAATCTGAAGTCGCTCAAACGACATCTGTGCTCTCAATCACAGACACAATATCTTCAATGAAATCACACAAATGTGTATAAGTCTGCACATATAGCGTGTCGCGGAATGCCTTACGGTGACGTAGCTCCTTAGCCAGCCACTTGTTGATTTCCTCCTTGTCAAGCTCGTCCGGTTCCCGTAACTCCGTATTTTCAACATCACCACCAGCATCCTCCCTTGACAGAGAAGTGATGTCCTCTTGAATGGCATAATAGTTATCGATAAACTCTTTCCATGCTACTTTTAGAAAGGCTTCCTCAATCGTCAATGCCAGCTCTTCCCATTCGTCGATACCCGTCGATATAATGCCCCGCACGTACACATAGCATGTCCGTTCACGTTCTGTATTGTGCAATATTTTCTCTTCAAAATCTATGGAAGGTTTGCCACGCATCTCCTCCAAAATACCCATCATCTCCACAAAAAGTAAAGCGCGTTGATCGGGACTTCCTTGGCGTAATATCATAGCTTTCAAGGTTTCCACACTCAGATCCCAGGCCGGTTCGCGTGGCTTCTTTAATCGCTGGTATAGTTCCTTCAGTAGTTGTATGTCGTGATAACGCTCACAACGATAGCCGGGATTAATGAATTCGAAGAGCTCCAGTTCGGTGAGAGCGCGCTTGTAAGGGCAAG